TTTGTTCGGTGTTGATTAAGTGCAGGATGGGTTCCGTACTGTACAGATGAAGAAACATCAAGAGTGGAACGAGGATCTAAGATGATTTTACATGTATCCCTAACCTTGAGTGTAATAAATAGACAAATAATCTCCGTTCCAATTGGTCAAATCAGAAGTTTTTGGAAATTCAGGTGACGTAGAGGACAGAAGCTTTCGGAAATTGGATGCCCCTGAATTGTGTGGTGTATTTTTATTAATTTAGTCGCGCAGAGGCATTTAATTATTTTGAAAGGTGCATATTCTAAAAATTAGCGTYGCGCGAGGTTAGGAGAGGTGCAGAACACTCTCTCGGACGTAGTAGTAAGGATCACTAATAGAAATATTTAGGGACTGATTTTTTGGGCGGAGGGGGGGAAGAGGGGAAATAAGACGGGAAAATAAAAAAATTGACACTCGGGAAATTGCCTTTAACTTGCCAGCACTGGAATTGTACTTAGTAGCTCTAGTCGTGGCAAAAAAGGAATTATGACCTTAAAAAAGAAACCACGATTACCAAGCAAACTCCGAATTTGAAATGTGCATCGCTCAAGTTGCGCAATAGGTGTCGACCTCAACTAAAGAAAATGAAGTAGTATCTATTCTCTATTCAATAATGTGGTACAGAACCCTTCAATGAATAGCACTTGCGCACTTCAAATTACTAAGAGTATTGTATTACAGTATAGTCGACAAGCAATAACGATGCATCTTGAAGTGTTCTTAAAATGAAATCTAAATTTCTTTTTCAACAGAATTTTGTTACCTGTCCTTCTTGAAACTGGTCGGGCAGAATAGTCTAGAATAGCAGTAGTATGGTGTGATCAATCATTGCCTTCCTCCCGTTTAAAAAACATTGAACTCGATCTGCGAGAATGCGGGGAGGATTGTCGCCCTTGTAGATGTTGTAGATGGGAATGAGAACGGTGAACGTTTCTGCTTTGTATCCCATCGACGCTTCCGCTGTTGTTCAGTCGTGGCGGAGTGGTCATGGCTTCAAAAATATCTTGTTGGTACCTGTACATGTCGTTGATCTTTGATTCCGACGGTGTGGAAGAACCCATTATCCGATCGAAAGAGAGGCCCGCGATAATGTCCGAGGCACCTGTGGATGCGGAGGACGCGGAGGACCTTCGTCGTCTGCTTGTTGTGCATTGCTTGGATTTGCTGTTGCGACGACTTCCCCTTCGCCCACTGCCAAACGGAGAGCCTTCATTGCCGCTGCCTGCTTGTTGCAAGCGCTGTTGTTCCTGACGTTTCCAAGATGCTACCTTGGTTCGCAATGCGTGGCTGACCTTGTCGCGAGCAGCAACTGTAGAAATTTCTTCCCACATTTCGTCTTTGTACTTGAGAAACCTTCCTCCCAAGTTGTGAATGGTAGCAACGATCTCTTTGGTCATAGTCATCTTGTCCTGTTTGCTAGTAGCGACGTCGTATCTGGGAGCAAAATCGTCCAAGACGGCCTGAAAGCGTTGGTTGCCCATGTGGTTCGCACAGATCCGCGATTGCCCACAAAGAATGTCGTACTTTGAGGGATTTTCCACCCGGTACAAATTACTCTTTGCGCCCTCAATTACTTTTGTTTCGATCGACTTCGTCTTTGCCCGCGATGAATTACTTCGTTTTCGTGCTCGTTGCTCGATCAATTCCGGCACTCTTGTCCCCATAACAAGACCGTTGATGTGATTGTCGGATTTATCGCTACGACATATTGTGCTTGTATTATCCATCGGTGTTTCAGGTATTGTTATCGTCAATGGCTCTACATCTTCGTGGATCGTGCTTTCTGAAAGTTTTGCCACAGCATTATCGTCGTTGGTGACATGAAAACTGGGATCGTCGCAGTTTAAAATATGAAATCTCTCCCCTGATGGAGCTGGTACAGGCTTGTTGTTCCAGCTTTGTTCGTAGTGGTGGAACGGATGTTGATGCTGATAGTTGGTTTGGTCGAAGTAGTTTTGGTGTTGCTGTTGCCGTTGTTCTTGCTGCTGTGACTGCTGCTGCTGGGAATAGACAAGGGCAATGGTGTTGTCATTATTGCGGTACTGATTAGTGTCCATTTCGGTAAGGTTAAGATTAAGATTGAGCCGTTGTTGCTGTTGCTGCTGCTGCTGCTGATGATGATGATAATGATGATGATGATGGCGGTGGCGGTAGCAGTTGTTGTTATTGTTGTTGTTGTTGTTGTAGCTGCTGCTGTTGCTGTTGCTGTTGTTGCTGTTGTTGTTGCTGCTGCTGTTGTTATTGTTGTTGTTGTTGTTGTTGTTGTTGTTGTCACAGCGTCTATCAAAGGTACACAATAGAAGATGTTCTTCGTAGTCCCATTCGTCCATTATAGTTGTTGTGATCATCGTGCCTCGTGAAAAATCGATGATGATAGGTTCCGAGAGAATTTTGTCGGCTGCTGGGTCGTGGTTGTGTGGTTGTTTCCGGTGGCGCCGGTGTTGAATGTCCGTTGATAACTAGAGGAAGTAAGTACGTTGCAAGGGAAATATTGCACGTCTCAGGGAACCTTGATTTCGGGAAAAGTGTGGATGTAAGAAGATCCCCCCGAGTTTTTTTGCGAAATTGGACGCCTGCGCCGATTTCCAGTAGATTGAGATGCCAGAATTGAATCAATCTTGGCAAATGAGGTCACGATTCAAAATTTTTGACGAATGATAAAAATCTGGGAAAAGGGGCTATGCAAATGTACTTTAGCACGATCGAGTGTTTCGACATATAAGCTTTGTAGCTCAATTAGGGTACCGGCCGGTAGAGCAGTTCAATGTCGATTAATGCAACTCAGAAAATAAAGTACGACTACTCACTAAAATTTCTTCATTAAATGTCAAAGGCATATACAAATTCTGTACGTATACTTTATTCACCCGAGCGAGCAAGCAAACCACGATTACGTTAAACAAAAATGGATAACTTATTTTTGGGTATTATTTCAAAGAAATACTTTTGAGAATTTCTTTATCAAGAATGATATCGTAGTCGCCTCTCTTCTTACAACGGAAATGTATTTCCCAATCGTACCAAATTGAGATGATAGCAGAACAGAAGTACCGGTACGAGTACTGTGCCTTACAGCACTTCGTACCAAGTTAATGATACTCTAATATTGCTCAGACGATTCGTGTGGTTTGTGATTGTGACGGCCGTGTTTTAATTTTTTTCTCTGAGAAACAAGAATTCCCAGGGACGTTCTGAAACAGCGAATTTCCACGTACACTTAGCTACCAGATCACCGACTAGTTCGACTACCGTAGATTCTTGCTGCAAGACAACGCCTCTATTAAAAAATAGGGGGCCCCGGGAAACAATTTTCATATTGGTCAGATTTATCTGGCTTTTTTTCTGGTAGATTTATGGTAAAAACATGCATTGTCGACTTATGTTAAAAACATTGTCGATTTAAGGTAGAAACATACTTGTCAATCATTGGTAGTACTAGTAGGAATATAGTACTAGTCAACATGTGGTGGTAGTAGCCCTATCAGCACGTTCCAGCATATCTGAGATTTGGGTATTATAGTATATACTATGTTGCGGGTCTAGTATAAATTATACATGGGGATTCTGGGAAGCTTACCAAAAATTGACTATAAATCAGATATCAATTACTAGAGGATATCAATCAGATTTAAATCTGATTTGTATTCCTTTTCTAGTCCATTTGTACTAGTCAAATTCTAGTAGCAAAAAAATAAAATTTTAAGAAATAGTTTCCCATATCCCCTAACTCATAACACACGTGCCCAATGCTACCACTGGTCAAAGTGGTCAAACGTATGGTGGATCTACTAGCTAAGCGTACGTGGAAATTTGCTGTTTCAGAACGTCCCAGGTCCTCCTCCTGAAACTGAAAATTAAAAATTATGATGTGTTTAAATCACAAAAAATTGTGATAAATTGTGACAGGTGAATAGTAGTCATCAATGTTGATGGCAAATTCCATCTATTGAAAAGTAGTACTTTACATAAATATTCACTATTGCTCTCATGATTGGGTCATTCCGGTAAACATAGAATCTATGACAACATACTTTGCATCTATGACTCAAAGGGAATGAGTATATAAAAACATAGAATCATAGATATTGAATTATGGCGTGCTATATGTGCTTTATTTTTTAATATGGAATTTTGATTAATAACTGCATTTTTGCCACCAAATATTGAGATCAAAACACTTAGAATTGAGAACCGTGACTTTAGAATTTTTGAATGGAGGATTCCAAAAAAAATCTATGTGTGGTGTGCATACTTTTTGATTAGCGAGAGCCTGTCTGAACCAAAAATCTATGTACCTGTGTCAAAAACACATACTTCTATGTGTGTACGTCTGAAGCTAATACAATTTTACTTAAATCTATGTTCACGGGAATCACCCATTGAATTTAGTATAAAATGTTTATTAGTGGTGCTGCAAGAAGAAGAATGAATACTACTACTACTACTACTACTACTACTACTACTACTACTACTACTACTACTACTACTACTACTACTACTACTACTACTACTACTACTACTACTANCTACTACTACTACTACTACTACTACTACTACTAGTACGTCACAAAAAGTGATCGCAACCTATCACGTGCCCTAGTGTCCCTTTATTTTGTATTGCAAACCCCCCCCCCTTTTTTCCCCACCCCATCCCCCTCCAATTCACGTGTTAATGGTCGCGTTTTTGTTCAACAGTTATTCTGCGAGGTTGGGAGCATGATGTTGTCATTCAAGAAAGGTTGCGAGGGGTTGCATGAAGGGTAATGTCCACCATTTAACGAATATGATCAAGTCCAACGTGGTAGATTTATCTCCGTTCCTACTACCTGACAACCCTGGTGATGAAAATGATCCTGGGAAGGTGCTCCGTGGTGTTCCTCCATTTTTGAAATCCTTCTATCTTCTTGAGGATGCTCTTTTCCAATTTCACCAATGTTTTGTTGGTCTGGAGACTTCCGTGCAGCCAATAGTGTCCCAGTTGCAGGAAATTCTAATGACCCCAATTATGTATGTGATCAGACCTCCCACTTTGACAGATTTTCATCAACAGTTCTAGACATTCGTGACAACTTGAATGCCCACTGGTTTCGTGTCCCCCATACCCCCAACGATGAATCCATTCTTACTTGTTGGGAAACCCAAGCAAAGAAGTACGATCAAAATATTGAAAATGAAATCAAAACCTTATTTTCTGACTTCGAAGCCAAACATGGTCCCACCAAGCGCCGCAAAGTCAACTCCCGCCATTGTCGGTCATCAGATTCCCAAGATCTACTTCCATTTTCCAGATCGGCAATTGCACGTAAGAGTACAAGGAAAGACAACTTAGAAATTACTGATCTGATTCACATGTTCCAACATCCCACTAATTCAAAGATACGTGGCACAGGGAAAAAGCAGGTCAAACCCAAGAGATGTTACCTTGATAGTACATGTGCTTTACAAGTGGAACAAAACCTGAAGCAGTATTTTCAATTTTTCGACTTTTCACATATCGGCGTACCTGAGGACCAGCCGAAACCTCAATTCAGGAGTAGACATTTTTCAGTCAAGTGGGATGTTTTGCTACGTGAGTGCTTGTTCAATGCCAAAGCGGCACTGAAGTTTTTTTGGATATACCGGTCTAAAACGGAAGAAGATTTTCAGTATAAGGATGGAATGGAGATCAAAATTGTTGACAATGTCATTTGAGATTTGGCAAAGAAATACTCAACAGAAACAAATGCATCTGCTTGTTCTCCCGCCCAACTTGTGTCACATTTTTTTCATTTACTTGTGAAACATTTTAAAGCGTTTTTCCAAATAACTGACATTGTGATCCCAGATCTTCCAAGCATTTGAGGAGTAGCTGTGCCCAAAGATACTGAAGGAAGTGATCGTGATGACCCTACCTTCAGTATTACAGTCCCTTGTAATCACGTCCTTGGTGCACCTGACGCAACTGGTGATAGTGTTTTTCTTACTGGGCAACAATCCGGTATCACTCTTATACCTTTATGTGTCTACCGTGCAAGAGCTGATTACTGGTTCATCAATTTCACAGTTTTTCATCCTCGATCCGGCTTCATGTACTGCTTTCCTCCAAGTACCAAAACAGATTATCCTTGGGCTCTAGTCCTCCCTGTTGAACATGAAAAAAAGGCATCTGAACTGAACGGTGGCCAGCAGGATGTTTTACCAGTCACAATGTCAGACATTGAAACAAAATTGAAACACATCACCAATGTGAATGGCAATATTTTTGTCTATGCTGGATCATTTACCTGCCAAGACCCTGTCCATTGGTGGTTAGAGCAGGCCGACGAGGAGGTCAACGAGGAGGTCAACGAGGAGGCCAACAATAACGCAACTGCACCCGCAGCTGGAGAGGATGGAGTTGTTGATGACCCCAAGCACATTGGAGAGGATGTAGATGGTGATGAGATTGAGCAGGAGCAGGATGTCGTGATTTGACAATTGTAAGAAGGAGAGGTATCCATGCTGGCCTTTTAAGCACCACATCGACTACTCACCACACGAAACAACAGTATGTAACACCAGAAGATCATAACCCAACTCTGTACCAACTATCACTAAATCAGCTCTATACTTAAATTTACAATTTCCACCAATGCTCTTGTTGTCCTTGTCACTGTTTTTTAGCGTTGTTCTCTTCTGAGCTTTTGTTCAAAAAATTGTTGCCATTCAGCCCGTCTCTTGACAACCATCCACTCCGTTGGTTCCTCATCTCTGTTTTCACTTAAATTAGGGACCACTGCAAGTTCTGATACAATTGCCTCCGTGTCATACAGTTCAAACCCGCAACCATCCAGTTGTCCTCTGTCAACGAAGTTTGAAACTGTTTTTTTTGGTTCCTCTTTGAACGGACGCACAACAGCATAGACCCCACCATCGGAACCCACCACACCACCCGCAGGTGTTTTGTCTCCCTCTCTCAACTTAAGGAAGCACATTATCTGTCCCGGAACAGTTATCTCATCACTGTTATGGTCAAATACCTGAAAAGCTGCCCAGTCCATCCACGTTGCATTTTGTTGTCCACTATCGCTATGGTATGACGGATGTGACCTGAACAGGTAATGGCTTCCGGTTGACGTATCAAATCTCTTGTGCTCTGTGCATCCATGTACACAACTTGAGTCAACTAGCAGAGGCATCACTGTTTCACAGCAGTACAACAGAACAGCCCATGGAAAATATGGGACATCCTTTTTTTGCTCCATTCCATCATTGGAACTACACCACCATCTCCCCATTTTATTTTAAATCTTGCACCCTCCCTGTACCCCATTTTGTTCTTGTTGGTGGCGTTATCACTTGTTGTTCTTGTTAGTCCGTACCTTGACATAGCAGTATCAATTAGCATTTGTTCCGACTGACGTATTGTTGTCTGTTTCACAAGACTGGAAGCCCTTCTTTGTGTGTTCCTAGAGGGAGCCTTGATTTCTGTTTTGTGGTGACTCTCACTGGGTGCCGAATCCCACCCAGACGGGT